CCCTGTTTCACAGCGATGGGCGCTGTCACGTGAGGCTAGCCGCGTATCGCAAGCACCACCCTTGCTGCCAAAACATTTGAAAAATTCTTCACGGGAATAGCCCGTCTGGGATCCCACAGGAACAAAGATCCAACGCACGCTCCGCTAGAGACGAGAGCCCAATCCAATATGGTGAGAAACATCGGCTATGGGCGGATCATCACGAGCGAGGCGCCAGGGACACCTTCGACCTCGCCGCGGACAGGCGTGGATCGTCAGCGTCTCAAGGAATGCGACTCGCCTCCTTGCAGCATGCTTCGCCAAGCCCATGCAAAGTCCGAGCCTCCGTTGCCGGCCGCCGTTGCTGCCTTCCGACCACCGGCGCCGGTCGGGCCGTCCCCTTGTGAGTGGCTGGTGGCCTGCACAAAGCACATTGTTGTATGCCCGGTGGTGGGGTGTGCACAGCTGGGAGTGGAAGCTTTGTCTCGACCGAAGCCGAGCCGCCGGTGGTGGGCCCAGGGGACCGGCGGTTTGTGGAAGTTGAAGCGTGTGGAGTCGTTGAGTCGTCACAAGGATCGCCGGAAACTGCTGGACTCGTTCGAACTCACTGTGTGTGAAACGGAAAGGTGGAAAACGAACACAACAGTGTTTGCCACAAAGCGCAACTGCGTGGGCGCCACTTCCAACGCCGTAACTAACGCCAAAAGTTGAGTCCAAAGCGGATTTGCACTGCAGACTACTTAGGACCCAGGGATTACCATCTCTCGCTGCCGCTTGGACGGTAGCCTGGTCGAACGCCCCGAAGCCTCATGGCTCCAAGGCTGTAGAGGCCCTCAAACCTCGAAGATGGCCCAGAGCCCTCGGAAGGCTCCAAGCCAAATGGCCCACAGCCCTAACGGGGCTGAAAGCCACGACGCCCTGGAGGCCACGCGCCCGAAGGGCTGCGAGCCTCAAAGGCACCAAAGGAAAGAGAGAGAGAGAGAGAAGACAAGAGGTTAAAGTGCTGCTCCGCACGGTGGCAGAGGAGGAAACCGCTGCGCGCTCGCGCTTAAGTCTCCCCGAAGTGTCACTCAAACGGTTCAGAACCAAATGTCATTATTCAGTTGTTAATCAAGTGCCCATTCCACATTTTCTATAGTTTAGAACCCAATTTAATCAGTGTCAATTCCCAGAACGACAAGTGCCTCACGTCGCTTCGCTCGTTCGTCACTCTAGCGCCCCTCTAAGCATCATTGGTGTGTCTCTTCGGTGTCCGTTTCTTCCTCCAAGCGTCATCCTCATCGCGAGCCGTCGGCTTTCTTCTCTGAGCCATCACAACGTCACTTCTGAGCCGCCAAAATGCCTCCCGAAGTGGTGCAAAGGCAGCTGCCGGGCAGCGCCTCCTCAAGCTGACTCGGCGCCCCAAGTGGCCTTCATTTAGTTTTCATTTGCACCCTCATTGTTGGTGCAACCGTACAGTGATTCTTGATCGTCTATAGTTGCCAACTAGGTGGTGTAGAACAGTGTAGAATGGCGTAGAACAATGGATATCTTTAGAAATATCCATAATCGTTGGTGTGGGCGCAGATGGGTAGTAATTGTTCAGGGTATTCTCTCAGCTTTCTTGGCCTTTCTTGGTGCCAAACATTGTGCATCTCATTGTATGTGCAGCACTGTAATCGCTTGTAATGATGCTCCTCCTGTGGTGCTCCTTGAGTGGTTTCCCCGCTTGTCTGCTCCAGCCCTTGTCGTAATCCTTGATGCAAAGACGCCTGGCGCCTTTTCCCACATTTCCATGACGCTTTTTGCCATGCCAAGATATCCCCACAGCTCCTGCTGTGACGTCTGCCATCCTGACGCTTCCTGCCATTCACTCCTCACTCTTTTGTTACTCTTTTATCACTCTTCTGCGTTGCCTTCCGCCATTGCCTTGCCTCCGCCGCAATGGTTGCTCCTGTGTGCTGTGTTTTAATACTTTACGTTGTCCAAAGCCTTCTCTCAGTGGTGTCCCTATGACGACTCTCATGGTTGCACCGTCGTTGTTGCTGTGACTGCATGTGGGCGTCCTGGCCCAGTAGTTTATTGTGTTTTGTGCATACCCCTGTTTGTCCTGGTGACGTCTTTTGCCATGGCGCTGCATTGGTGGCCCAGGCCCTCGAGTGGCCGGGCGCTTTCAATACTTTATCGTGTGTTGAGCGTCGTCCACTCTAGCTCCTGTGACGTCTTTGTGACGTCCCGGTCCCTATAGTCATCTTAACCTTCTTGCGGCTGCATTTCCTGTACTTTGCGATGTCCTGACGGTCTCCCATGTGGATTCCTATAACGCGGCAGCCCTGTAGTCATTGTAGTCATCGCCCAGTTGTGCATTTTAGTAGTTTATGTCGTTTGCTCTGTCCTCAAAGTATTGCCTTCGACTAGTGCCGTTGACGTCTTTTGTATTTGACGTCTTTCGCCAAGCGTAGTCAGTCGTCGTTGCCATCTTTCCACGGCGACATTTCCACATACGACAACGTGACAGCCCAGCTGCCACCATCGCTGGAGCCGCAACTTAGGACCTACGACCACTGATCCACATCCGCTCTGTCAGCAAAACAAGAATCGAATCCCAGCAAAAGAGGGACTAATATATTCTCTCGCGAGGTCGGGTCGGATTTGACGTGTGCCCTTGCCGTGGGCGTGTATTGCTTCCTCCAGCACTCCACCCAGCTCCCCTTGGACAAGGAGCGCGTGCCGATCTCCCCCGGTCCAGCGAAGGCTGGCCAAGGCCCCTTGACGGAGCTCTCCTCCACGCCTTCGCCCTCACGCGGGGTGCGCGGCTTCACCGACCGAGCCGCTTGAAGGTGCCGTCAGCCAGCGGTGGGCTGGGTCACTGACCTGCCCCCGTGCCGTGCGCTTTCTCGTTCGGGCCGCGAATCTCCGACGACACCGTTTTCTTCACGACGCCTGGCCTCATTTTCATGTGAACGTTCGAAGCGGCGCAGGGGTGGGAGGGGGGGGCCTCCTCGCCTCTCGCTGAAACCGCGTCCGACCGGCCCATCTGGGCAGTCGGACCCAGCGTGTTCCCTCCGACGGTCATCGTCGTTGTGCCCTGGCCGACCTGTCCCATCGCTCCGCGGATCGCGCCTTCGCTTCGATTTGCCGGAAGAAGCCCCGGTCGCTGGCGCCTCCCCCGTGTATTGATTGGCCTGGGCGTATTCTCGGCGTTGACCACCGCGCGGGGCTCGGGCCGCGCTCATGGGCGCTTCGAACCGGACGGACCAGAAGCATCGGTGAGAATGTCGCGACCTCCGGCGATCGATGTGCGTCCCCGCGGTTCAGTCCGGCAGCCCACTCTCGACCTCGCCTGTGTCCGAAGGCACCGTGCTCATCATTGGACGCCGGGGAGGATTGATCCGGACTCTGGAGGGGAGGCAGGCGGGGGCAATTTGGGGAGCGGAAGTTACGTGGCGGCCACCACCGGGGCTTTGAGCAGCGCGCATCAATGAGAAGTAATCGTTGTCCTGCCGATTGGATGCGAAGTGGACTGAAGTCGCGCGGGAATCGGAGCTCGCCCGCGAGCCGCGCCGTCCAGTCTTGGTAGGCGTCGATGACGGCCGCCCGGGAACTGCCATCCCTCCCCTGCCGGCCGCTCATTCCGTGCACTCTCTCGGCTGGATCGCGATGCTCCTGCGGGATGCCGCCACGTGGGCAGCGATCCAGATCCCGGGCTGTGAGATGGTCCCCCGCCCGCCAAGCTTTCCCAACAAGGCCGCGTCATTTCGCGCACGTGCTGGACACGCACGGTTGCGTCGATCCTGGCCGCTGTTTGTTCCCGCAACGCACGCGATGCGCAACGCTGTTCAGGTCGCCTGGCCCAGTCGGTCATGGGTTCGGCCCCGCGGTGCGCGCTCCTACGGATTTGAGTGTGGCTGTCCCGCCCCAGCGATGAGGTCGCCAACAGGGGTGGCAGCGCAACCTGCATCGCCAGCACCAGGCGGGGCAGAGGGAGGGCTGGGGCTCTGGCGTGTGGGGCTCTGGCGTATGTGTGTCGACGCAAGTATCGCTGGCATTGTACTTTGTGGTGTTGTACGAACTGCTGGACAGACCAGCGGGCGGCCTGGGGCAAGGTGGGTGGGTGTGGTGGTAGTAGTCGGATCCGGCGAATCCCGGTTCACTCGTGGGTCGATGCACACCGAGCTGGCACTGTACTTTGGGCCTTGCGCGAACAGCCGTGCAGATTAGTCAGGAGTGAGAAGGGGGCGCTCAGGTGTGGATCAGGCCATCCTGTACATCTTTGGGGCGCCTCTCGGTGCTGCCATCAGGCTGGTCGCACGAGGGGGCAGTACTGATGGCGGCCAGCCGTTTGGGGGGCCGCGGCCTTTGTCGACGATGGAACATACTACATTCTGGGCAGGGCACGTAGAAGAAGCGGAGCGACACAGCACATTAATGGGCCCCATTTGACCAACGGCGTACGTTTATCGTGGGCGGAGGTCCTTCTTCGCTATGCCTGGCAATAGATGACAGCCTTGTGCCTACAGAGTGATAAGGCACCCCATAGCTAAGGTCGTCTGCTTTTACCACATGTGTTGTCTCACAACGGCCTGTATTGGACATGGCAGCAGCATGGCACATCAGATCCAAAACCCACACAAGAGCTGCCACTGACAAGTGCTCCAGGGGGATGGTCGTTTGGATGCGAACTGGCTCTTGTTATATGTCTCCATCCAGGCCAGATTTCGCATTGTGGCATGACCATCACAGCATGAGCGAAAGTAGCATGCCAGAATTGTGCTCTTTCTGAGGCAGATGTATTGCCAAAGTAGCTCGATGCATGCTTTGATCCCAGACATGTACCTGGGCCTGATGGAAAAGCGTTGGATTGCTATGGTTGGTAGACAGTCCTGAACAATATTTCTCCTCCATACCTGGACGTCAGTGATATGCAAATTCGTGTCAAGCACAAACTCTGTTGCAGGAATTGCTGAGCCAAAATTTTCGCTAAAATGCGATGAGACTGACGAGTGATGTGCAACCCTTCAGGATATATCCCTGTGGACATCATGGCACGACATTCAAAGAAAGAGGCGATGCATGCAATCTCTTCCATGGGCTGGAGCATGTCTTTCGTTTCTTTGCTTGGCCTGGCTGTGATTTCTGTTCTCTTTGGAGCAAGGAGCACAGAAGCACAGTGTGCAGAAGGGACCTTTGATGCCACTTGTGTCTGCATTGATGATGCAGATGATGGGTGCAGGTTGTCGGGTTATCAGCGGCAGAGCTGTGCCTGCCAGACAGGGATTAATGTGAAATTGAAAAGAAATGACACAACAGGTGTCTGGGAGGTGGATGGGACATATCAAGTTAACAGATCAACCTATCTGTCTGGAATCGAAATCACCTCCATGGACACATTCTTGGAATCTCTGAAGGGGATGATGAGCCATCCTATTGTATTGAAGAGCACATCAGTGGAGTCATTCCAGCTACCAGAAGACGCTTTGAGAATTGGGGGTCTTGCCATTGTTGGAAACAAGTATTTTACCAGCCTGTCTGGGACTGGGGATCTTGAACATGTGAAGGGGGACTTGGACATATCAGGCAATGAGGCTCTTGTGAACATCACTGGGTTTGACAACCTTACCATGGTCGACGGAAGACTTTTGATAGGGAACAATGAGGCTCTCATGAGTATCAGTGGGTTTCAGAACCTTGTTGTGGTGGATGGGAGTTTTGGCATCGAAAACAATCTTGCTCTTCTCAGTATATCTGATTTCAATGGGCTTACAAAGGTGACTTACAACTTCTCTGTTAGGGGTAGTGCTGGCATCAAGGACATAAGTGGCTTCAACATGCTTGAAAGCGTGGATGGTGATCTGTACATAACTGCCCACAAATCTCTTGTGAGCATCAGTGGCCTGGAGAGCCTGCGCAGTGTGAGAGGTATAGTGTCCCTTCAGTCAAATCATATTCTTAAAGATATCCATGGCTTCAGGGCTCTTGTCAAAGTGGGTGGTTTGCAAATCCAGAAGAATGGTGAAGTATTTGACTGCAATAGTGGAGACAAGTTGTCAGGTTCTGCACACATCTCAGGCCTCTCCAGTCTCACTCAGGTGGATGGAGATGTGGATATATCTGACAACAATGCCATTGCCAACATCAGCGGGCTGCAGAATCTGTCCAGGGTGAAAGGAAACCTGCAGATCAAATCAAATGTCAAGCTCACAACTGTGGTTGGCTTCAGCAGACTTGAAACTGTGGATGGGGATTTGGTAATCAACTCAAATGCAGTTTTTGATGATGGCAGTGGAATGAGTGGCCTGAGAAGTGTGAATGGCAGTGTGATAATAACAGGTAATGAGAATCTTTGGAGCATTAGTTGGTTTGAGAACCTCACAATTGTGACTGGCAGTTTTGCAGTTCGACATGGGGTCCAACATTTGGACACAACAGGACTAAAGAGCCTTAAAATGGTGGGCAAGGACTTCCACATTGTGCTTGATTCTGGGTGTCAACATGGATGTTCTAAATCTCTTGAGGGGTTTGATACCCTTGAAGAGGTGGGTGGCAATGTCAATATTTCTTGCTCATGCTTAAATGGCACAGAACTGAAGGGACTTCAAAAAGTAGGAGGAGATTTCATTATTGAGAAGAATGAGCTTGTGGACGATGGCAATGCTTATTTCCAGAATGTCACAAATGTTGATGGGAGTCTGATAGTGGCATTCAATAATGTCACAAGTGGCACAAGGGATTGTAGTGAGTTTAACATCCTTGAAGCACTGAAACAAGTGTGCCTTGGGAAGAGGGACACATCCTGTGGCCTGAGGATTCATGGCAATTCAGGGTATCAGCAAATTAGCAGTTTTGGGAACTTGAGCAAGATTGGAGGAAGCTTGGAGATCAGCAATAATGGTGATCTTTGCACTATTCAGAAGTTCTCCAGACTGGAATTCATTGGACCATCAAGGAGGGCTAGTGGTACACCTGCGGACCTGTTCAATGTCTCTGTAGGCTTTTTTATTGCCCACAATCCAAAGTTGGCAAGGGTCGAAGGTTTTGAAGCTCTCAGCAAAATTGGTGGGTATCTGGCCATTGTAGACAATGCCAGGCTTAGCCACATCTATCTGCCAGCCCTGGAAAGTGTGACATCACGCACGATCATACAGTCAAACATGGATGGCAGCCCAACCTGGTCTTCAGGTCCATTGCCATTTCGAGAGGGAGGTTGCAACTCGTGGGATGATAGAGTCCCGCATGTGGACACAATGTCTGATGGTGGACAGGTCTTTGTCACCAGGCTGAGGTCGATGGCATGCACAGAGAAACTCCTGTCCAGCCTGTCCTCCTTGGGGGTGGTCATTGTGATGGTGCTCGCATTTCTGATTCTCCTCTTCTATGTGGCAAGAGACTTCTACAATCCCTATCAAGAGAGGGTGAGTGTGGATACTCTCAGGGACACATTTGCAACACACCTGGTTGCAGTGGCTGATCTTCTCTCAGATATGTACTTTATTGTCAGCGTTTTCCTCCTGAATGGTGACAATACAAGTGGCATTGTTATTGGAGTGTTGAGTGTCATGGTGGTGTTCACCTCTATGTGGTACAAGGTCATTGCCACATATGTTGGACTCACCAGCAAGAAAATAGCGGAAGACCTTGAGTTGCCTCTCATAGATGGTTCTGGGATGCTTCTTCAGTGTCTGAATGAGAGCAAAATGATGAGGAAAAGTGATTGGCTTGTCCTATTTCCTGGCCTTCTTGTGCTTGATGTCGAGGTTCTCAAGCATATGCCATGGGCACCACTGACCAGTGGTACCAACGAGCATTCTTATGCAGGCTTTCCTCACAAATACTTCAGCAATGTAGCTTTTCGTGCTGCATTGTTGGAAGATGTGCCTCAGATTTTGCTCCAAATAGCCTTCATAGTGACTGTTCAGAATAGTGAGGGGACAGACATCAATGGAGCCATTGCATCGCTGACACTGTCTATCATTGATATCATGGTAAAGTTTGTGTTTCCTGTGTTTCTGTTGTGGTTTTTTCCACCCCGTCATCTACGCAGAGTGAAGGCAAGAGAAGTGAGATAGAATGCAATGGAGAGAATGGGTTCCATTTTGTATTTTTATTGAAATGGCAAGAGGAAAGTTCTATGGCACATGATACTTTTGAGGTAGACTTACCGATGGGCCTATTTGTTTACCAGAGAGATAGATGTGGGGACGAGGCTTTGGGGGTGTACAGAAGGTGCTATGGATTAGAGCAATGTTAACTAGGCCTCTGATGCAATGAATTGGTTGTTGAATGCTCTGGTGCAATTGAATTGGTTGTTGTATGTGTTTGTTCAATTTGGATCTGTTGGTGATGGTAATGTTGTCAGTTTTCAATCCTTGGTCTGAAAAGTAAATATAAGTGGTCTCTTTGTATTGTTTGGAGACTTGAAGCAGTGTGGGGATCATTTCTTAGGGTGATTCAAAGATGCAATTGTTGAAGTTCCATTGTTGGGCCGTCACAATGGTGACAGGTGGACTGAAGAACAAAGAAAATGGCACCCTGCACTCAATAACCTCGGAGGCGGATCACAGAAAAAGTTGCCACGCAGTCAGTCTCACACAATATGGTCTCACACTCTCAACCTACAGCAGCTCGGCACTTGAAACACATGCATGCTCTGTATCTTTTTTGCCTCGAAAATCACTTCTATCAACACACAACCAGGCAGGGAAACGACGACAACTTCAGTCCACAACTGCAATCACAATCAACAGCTTGTTTCCCATGAAAAAAATGAGGATACCACGAGAGACAGCACCAAAGCGCTCTTCGGGTAGTGATGTGTCGATGTTTCACTCGTCCAGAACAGTACCATGGTACATCAAGGTAACAACAACTGTCATTTTGGGGATGACATTGGTTTACAAAGTCAGTTAAGGGCTGGGTGGAGCGCTGCCGACGTGAGGCGCAGCCCAAACAGTGGGAACTATACAGTTTGTAGCATAAACTACGGTTTGCGCAAAAAATACAGATAACAAACGAGTATGTAGATGCAAAGGACGTCGTAATCAATGTACTCTATGCGCTTGGTGGCCCTAGCCATAGCAACTGCGGCAGGCCAGCGTGCTGGCACTTCCTCGCCTTGGCAGATGCAACAATCGGATATTGTGCATGCTCGTTCCTTGCGGTACGCGAGCAGCGAGCGGCCCTCGTCGCAATGATGAGCAGCTGCAACGACTGTGCTAGACCACGATAGAGAGCGTCGTAACTCGAGATGACACACGAGTCAGTGCGCAACCGAATCGTTGAGAGCAAGAGGCAGGCAGAGGGACAAAGTGTAAGGTTTTTGCACTCTCAAAGGTGAGCACAAGGAAGTGACACACAGAGAAGAGAGGTCGAAAGAAGTTTTACACCATCAGCCACCCGATTGTTCCTTGCTGAGTCCCTCAACGCAGTCCAAAAACCACCAAAGACAAAGATGTCCAGCACGCACAAGCCCCTTTGTATCTTCCCCACCTCGGCAACACCAACGTCAGAACTAACCCACTTGAATCATCCGATGTAGTTTCCATCGATAAAACCTTTCGATCAAAACTATTAACTCCTTCTTACATCAGATGTTATGTTTTCTTAGGACCTGGACCGGGTTACATGACATTATTTGCCGGGGCGTGCTCCTTCGGTGGGGATGGGTAGTTTGTTTCCTTTGCTTGTGAATTAGGGAGTCTCTCATCTATTTGTACGATATAATATTCCCACCATCGAACAATGAGGTAAAATACAATCTGTCATATATTGTGAACGTCAATGCATGTAATTGAACTTGTTCCAATGTCCCTGTCTCCGCGCATCCACCCCTTCGAACCCCTGGGCGCGGCTTGCCCGCAAACATCTGCTCCTGAGCTTCAGGAATTCTCCTACATACGGTAGCGTTGCATTGCACCGCAAGCCCGGCGGGTGAAAATCAAGGCAGCATCAAAGCAAGCCTGTGCGTGGGAAGGCCATTGCAACGTATTGAAATGTAGTAATGTTTTTTCCTATATGCATCGGCACATACGGTTTTGTTGTTGCAGCGAAAGCGCCAGTCCACGCACGGGCGTTCCCACACACCGGCTAGTCGACGCGTGGGCACGATGTGGGCTGGCCGGCACGGGGCGCGACTTGGGCTAGCCGGTGCAAGGGCGCGATGTGGGCTGGCTGGCACGTGGGCGCGACGTGGGCTACCTGGTGTGTGGGTGCGAAGAGGGCTGAGCTGCATTTGTGACAGCTGGGTGTTGCTGGCTGTTGCATTCTTGGGTCCAGTGTGTTTGCGTCGGGTCTGATGGCATGGGGCAGCTTCAGCGGCGCTTTGTATGTATGCGTCTGCGTTTCCTATGCCCTCGCCGCTTAGGCAGGTTTGCTGGCGTGCCAGTTTTGCCAGGCATGGCTCAAAGTCACCACAACCATTTACAACTTGTCTCTCCTATAACACAACACCAGCTTACACCACACTCTGCACCCCGTTCGGTCAACAAACCAAGTGTCGTCTATCGCCGCAGTCCCCTTCCCCATACAAGGGTCTACAGTTGTGCATTGTTACCTTGGACATGTTGGTGTTGGGCTCGGCGCCATGTGCACCACCACAAACACGTCCAGAGCGCTGCTCCACTTCGAGCTCTCTGTGTGGTTGTGGGTAGGATTATTGTAGGCGCTGGCCCTGCGCACACCTGCACAAACTTGCATAGCAAATGAGATCATCTGTATCTACGCAGATACGGGACGCATGCTCTCATTGTAGCCACGCCGACTCAACACCTGCGCACACAAACGGACAGACACACACACGCACATCCCTGCACGCACAAGCGCACCTCGTTCAGGGCCGAGCGACACCAAAAGCGCGCTGTCAGCGGTCGCAACTGCTGCATGCTGGTGTGGAGGTGCGGGATGGGGGTTACTGGAACGTAAGGCCAGCAGACGCCCACCTGCCCGTCTCGTCTCACGGACGTCCCTGACCCAGCCACGACACAGTCACCAACACAGACTCACTTGCCAACTCTGCTCGCGTCAACTTGCCCTGTGCGATTAGCCCTTGCTTGGCAGCGTAAAATGTGTGGCGGGTTTGGTGGCGGTTGAGTTCTTAACAGCGATGAAATCTGCAACTTAAATTCGCATGTCAAACAAAGCGACAATGTGACAAGCTTTCAACATGTTTGGGCGCGATGGTCGTTGGCGCACGCCAACGGCCAAGTCAACGCGCCCAAGTGACAGGCGGGGGGACTCTTGCTCTGCAACCGTTAGTCTTGAGGTCTGAGATATGCACAGGGGTGCCAAAACGTGGAGGTCTGTGATGGGCACAGGGGTGCCAGAACGTGGAAGCCCATCAAAGAACATTCCATGCCGCGAGTGGTGCTGAACATTGAACGTTGCCTGCCCATGTGGTGTCTCTTTCCCTGTGCCTCGCATCGGGGCCAAAAGGTAAGGCAGCGTGACCTCCGTTGCACTAAAGTAAGGAGCCACAAGGCGCCTCTCCTGCGGGCCGCTTTTTAAGATCTGAGTTCCATGCTTCTCTTGCTGTCGTGGAATATGCCATGAAAGCAACTGCATTCAACAAGGACAGTTGGCGTTCGGCTGGCCTGGCAGAGGCCAACGTAGGGAGGTGGATCGTTTCTTGCGTGGATCAATTGAAATGGTGGACAGATTGCGTTCTTACCTGCCGGTTCGTCCGTGCCTCCGCTTGCCAAGGGCCTGGCTGTCATGGCGTATTTGGACAAGTGTACGGTAAAATGACTGCCAGTAATTAACACCACTGGCAATACGAACTGGGGTGGGGGGGTGGGGGTGGGGTGGGGGGTACAGGAAGGGGGGAGGGCAGTAAACGCATTGATATTCCTTTTCAGAGATTCCCAGAGTTGCGCAGTCGCACGGAGGTCGGACAAGTTGGCATCGCCTTCTCGTGCAACACGTAGGAGAGCAGCCCAACTCTCCCGCTGCCAGTGGGACAGCTGAGCACTGACAATGGCACCGGGCTTGCAGCCAGCGTCGGCAGCGGTGTGGGGACCATCGTCGGAGCCACCGGCGCATTCGGGAAGACCATGCATGGCGGCATCGAGAGGAAGCGTCCCAGATGCCTCGGTCGCCCACGTCGCATACTCCCAGCTCACAGCAGTGGGCGGACAACACCGGTGGTTGGGAATTTCGAGATATCTAGGGGATACACCCGAAGCTGCGAGCCTTCGTTTCGCATCGCGTTTCCTGCAGCCATGCTTATCCTTACACTCACTTTCTACCGGACATGAAGCCCTCAACTCCGCTGCGACAGTCTCCCTTCGAGCCTGCCCCGTACCTTTTTTCTAATTGATCAGTATCAAGGATGCTGTGCGTTGCAATTAAAAATACAATCAACAGTCGCAAAACTATGCCTCTGTCCAGCAACAAGAAAAATGCAATAGCAATGAGTCACCAATGGAGGAAAAAACTTAGCGTTCACTGCTGGCAAAACTTGGCCCTGGCGAGGACACATGCCAAGCCACCTAATCGGTTTCATCCACAATTCGACACTTCCAGAATGCACACAAAGCCCTCGTGAGCATGGATCGAACACCCGCACGCGGGCGGATTGAACTGACTTCGCTATCCGACGTCTGTACGACTTCTGTCTCTGGACACGAAGCACGCAGCACAGTTGCTTGCAGCTTTGTCACCATGTCCCAAACCCAGGACTTGCAGGCAGATGCACCACTCTTAACCACAAACAGCGCAATCGCGAACAACTTTTTAACCACCCAGTGTTCAGGACCGACGTCAATACCGTGTTTCTTCGCAAAATTATCAAGCCACTTGTTCGACTCATTGAACAACTCCAAGAAGATGTACACGGAGACGCCCACCAGGGATGCGATCAAGACAACTGACACGAACATCGACCAAAACGAAGAAGTTTTCGGGTTGTTCAAGATGAGTCCTGCAAAAAATGCCAGAGAGGAGCACACAAGGGAGAGGAGCTCCATTCGGTTCATGTCTGGGCCATTTGTGACAAACGGGCATGCCAACAAATGGACAGTAATGGCGGTCATCAACACCACGAGTGCCAGAGTTGCCTGAAGGTCTGCCCCAA